TAAGTAATTAGTACCAAAAAGCAGAATGTCAGTCTTTCTAGAGTTTAGTTGAACAAAGTTTTGGGCCATCCATTCGTGGATGTCCTTGAGACGTTTGAGAGAATGAATTTCATTTAAGTTATTGGGGTCACAACTGAGGTAGATCCGGGTGTCGTCTGCATAACAATGGAGATTGATTTTTTATAATCTTATGAGATATCCTGATGGCAGCATATAAATGGTAAATAAAACCAGGCCAAGCACCGAACCCTAAGGAACCCCACAATGCAGCGTAGACGTTGAAAACCTGGATTCTCCAATACCAACAGAGAAAGTCCTGCCAGTGAGGTACGACTTAAACCATTCAAGGGCCGTGCCACTGATGCTGACCCAGTTCTCTAGACGGGACATGTGGATGTTGTGATCAACAGTGTCGAAGGCGGCACTAAGATCCAGAAAAACTAAAACAGAGGGACGTCCAGCGTCAGCAGCTAAAAACAGATAATTCATTACTTTGAGAAGAGCAGTTTCTGTACTGTGATGAGCTCTAAATGCTGATTGAAAAGATTCAAACACTGAATTGCTGTTCATAAAAGCTAAAAGTTGATTCGCAACAATCTTCTCCAGGACTTAAGTTAAAAACGGAAGCTTAGAGATAGGTCTAAAATTGTTAAGTCCAGGTTTCTTTAGCAGGGGCTGAAGAAGAGTACTTTTTAAAATAACAGGGTACAGTACCAGAGGAAAGGGAGTAATTTAAGAAGCTTAGTATAAAAGGAGAGACGTGAGAGAATGTTAAAAACCTTCTTTAAAACAATCGAGGCGTGAGAATGTCAGGAGAGCACCTGCATTATGTATCAAAATTAATTTTACAACTTAATTAGATGCTAGTAACTATGACAGCAGATACATAATAACTACTACTAAGATAAATATGAACTCCAATAGTATGCAACTGGAGTTGTAATGGATCTATAAAGTCATCCCAGCAAGAAATGTTTGCTTTTATCGAATGCTATTTATCAATGGGTCTGAGTGTATGTGATGGCTAATACTGATCTCACACAGACTTCCCAAATAAATAAACCTTAACAACTATACTGGAAGAGATTACAAAAAGAATTACTTTAGGTACCAGTGATGGACAATGATTTTTTTCTGTGTTCTTTTTCTGCAACTGAATACTGAAAGCATTTCCATTTAAAAGCATTTCTGCTTGTCCTTAGATAATCTCCCATGCAAGAAACAAAACAAGTGAAACACAAACACATTACCAAGCACAGCATTTTAAGGCATAATTTTCACTGAGCATCAAAAAGATTTATTCAGTATGTTTCCTCCTTTCCTTTTCCACAGTTGTGTATAAAGTACAATAGCGCCCCCAATCCTCCAGCGCCATCATCACCATCCTCACCATTCTTCCCTACACTTGTTAGTCATCAGAGTTCATTTTTTCTCATGAATGCATCCTTCGTCTCTCTCATTGGATGCAGATTTACCTTTTTAAATTCCGATTCACTTAAAAAGACCTTTGTTTTCCTGAAATTTTTTTATTAAGATTAGTTTATTTTAGGTTGTTTCTTTTTTTGCCATTTTGAGCATTATCTCTTCTTCTTGCAACCCTATTCACGTTATCCTATAATAGTTATTTTTAATGTTTACTGTCCAGTCTCCCCCTTCCCCTCCCACCTCCTCTCGTTCTAGCATCTTCGCTGTTACCCTTCCTTCTCATCCCTCCCACCCCTCCATGTTCTCCCGATTGATGCCATCTGAGGTTGCAGGCCCAGGCCGCCGGAGCTGCAAATTTACCCAGCAGCACACGTCACTAACAGGGGAGCGCAGAGCTCCCAAAATAGCCCAAACAGCAATTGGTGAAAGGGGGCCCAAGTGGTAGTTACCGAGGACTGATTCTGACAACAAAATGAAGCTTTCCGAACATCATGTGAACACCCATCATTTAATGACTCACCCACGCAAACCCTGCTGGTTGATTTATCATGTGTTTCAGCACTGCTCCAGATAGCCATTGAAAGTTCCTAAAATTTTGTTTTGAAACAATTATCTTGATTGAATTTTATTCTTTTACACAACTGTCCACAGTATGTGCTCCTTAATAATTACCGCCTTTTGATGAGAGTATAAACCAGGATTCTATATGATACATGAATATACAAGACAGAACAACACAGAAACATATACTGTGATACAGCCGAAAGACATGACAGGCTTCTGATCTGAGTCATGTGCTTGAACTCATCCCACTGATTTGCTTATAAAAATGTCACCAACACAATATTAAAAACTGGGATAATAATCTGTTGCATGATCTGCTTTGTGTAACAGAAGTAATACTATCTTGTTTTTAAACTGTCTGAAGATCATCCAAAAATGTAACAGTCAAGGTCACAAACAGATATTTTTTTGATCACTGTACACAATTACTATGAACAGGTTATGCCTCTTGTGGAGCTGTTTTTCTTATCCCAGGAAAATGTTAAAGCATTGCAAATATGCCTGAATTTAATAAAAAAATTACTCAAAAAGGTGTCACTGAACTCTAGTCCTTTCACGACCAACCAGTCTGTAAGTTTATTCATCGAGATCTTTAGATGCTTGCATAATTGTGGACTGTTGCATAAAGGGAAAAGACATGCAGGGTTTAATTAAAAACAGCTAACAAAGGCAACATTCAAGGGTTTTCTCGTTTCACAGTACTGACGGCGATTCCTAGAATTTCAGCAGGAATGCCATTGTGGAAAAGCCTGGTTTACAAAGCTTGGCACTGGTTTGGAACTAAAATAAATGCACAGATTCAACAAGCCCTTGCAGTCTTTTATGTATAGCCAGACCATTAACCCTTGTGGACCAAAGGCCTTGAACTTTTTTCTTAGGTCACAAGAAACAATGAACACCAGCTAATTTCTCTTCATGTTAGAAAAGATGTTTAAATCTTTGCAGTCTAAAAAGTTGCCTGTGAGTAAGTTGTGACTCTGTATAAGTGGATTTGAAGATGCACAACAGCAAACTCTAATTATGCTAAGACACTCATTTTTTTGTTGTTGATTATTTACAGCTTGTAATCCAAAGGTCTGCCGCAGAACTGGCTGAAAACAGATCTCCTGGGGTCTCACCCAACATGACCTCACTTCATTCACTGAGTAAATCTGTTATTCGTAAGGCAATTAAATCATTACAGTTGAGTTCTCTATAATAGGTCTTTATTGCTCTCATGGTGGGATAAACATGAGCCAATTACACATGTAGAACAGATGAAAACATTAATCTAACTAACACATATCTCACATGGAGTTCATAATTGTCAGTGCACACAAGAACCCAAAGAAAGAAGGAGAGCGAGAGAGAGATGGAGTTTTTGCAGCAATAATGTCTGTGGGCTGGTCAGAGCGGTGGCGGTTCACTCAATCAGCTCTTAAAATGTTTCCTGGATTCCACTTGATATTGCTTGTGGGATAATCTGATTCAGTTAATTATTTCATTAAACAATAGGCTTTTTTGTCCTTCTCAGAATTTGGAAGGGGATATAAGAAGTGGCTGCTACATTCAAAATGCTTTTGCAAGGGATGTAACCCGGGGACATTTTGGGGAATTTCAAGGCAGAGGGTGACTCTTCTGCACACACTTCTTCCAATTTAAAACTCAAGCACACCTATATAGCTACATTCATTTACTGTGCAGTTACTGTACCAATCTTTAATTCATGTCCTGGGTTTGGCGGCTATATTTAAAGCATAAAATCAGTTAAAATAATTAAAGCTTCCCCAGTAGTTCCTTGTTGGCAATCTGTTTATGGGGCACAAGTTAGGCTACATGGGAAAAAATGGTGTCACAAATTGTTCCTGCATGTTCCAACTCAAGTCAGACAAAACAGTCTTGTAGTCAGTGTAGTAAATTTCAGCATAACCGTTTAAAATTTTAAAAGGATTTACAGCTTGTTCAGAATTGAAGAAGCAACAGGTTCCACTAAATCTAGTAAACTGATCTATAACTGTAATCCATTATTTACTATAATACAGGCATCCCTTCACACACAGAGAGATTTTTAAATGCATCCAATCTATTTATGAATAACTCCAACCTCCAAAACATTTTAATGATTTAAAAATAATGGCTGAAAAGAATATTCACATTTAAAATCTGCACAGTCTATATACATAGAATTTTGATTTTGGTTCCTCATTGGAGTTCATTATGATTGAAAACATATCCTAGTTATGGAATACAGAGGATGTGGATTATATTTTCAAGTAAACATCTAAATGCCCCGGCAGCCCTGTAGATATCACACTTATTTTTTGTTTTAGTGTAATCAAAAGCTTTGCATTTTGCACCAATAAGTAAAGTAAATATCACAACATAATGTCCACTATATTGAATTATTATTACCAACATGGTGTCCTACTCGTGCACTAGATGGTGGTACAATCCAATGGACAGTACAGTATACCTAACAACATTTGATCTGTGCAATCATACAGGATACAACAGTGCCTGCTTTAGCTGGAAACAGGGTGTAAGAGGGCTTTGTTATGGAGAAGTTCATTATTTTGAGTTGTATTTATGTTGTTTGTATGTATGTCAGGCATGTCTATGTGTGATTATTTTACTGTGAAAGTAAGAGTTATGATGAATTAAGATTGAATTTGCAGCCAAAACTCTATATATACTCTATATATTAATATTTCCTATATCTTGATATCCATATACATTTTTCACTACCTTGAGCAGAGTTCTTGAATACAACTGAATCATTCATTCAAATTCTCACCCACCTACATTAAAATTTGAAATGTGCAGCTCCAGTATTTCACTAGTACAGTAAAGCTACTTTAAGCCAAAGTAAGCTAAAGTCATAAAGGAAACGCAATTAGTTATCAGAGACTAAATATTATCTGCTTGCTTATATCATTCATCTTTTCTCTTGTTTTTAATTTTTACGTCTCCATCAGTGAAAATATGTCGTTTGTGCAGTAATAAAACAGAGATTAGTAAAGTATTTTATAATTTGTAGAAATACTTTTATTATGGAAGGCACAGTGAGCATGTTGTAATCATACATTACAATAATTAAATAAATTACAAGAAACATTATTCGCACACGTTTTCCCTGGTGGAAGAACCATGATTTTACAGTCTGAAACCAAAACTCTGACCTTAAAATGCCGGCACGTGTCAGTAGCAGTGATTAAAATGTTCAAGAGTAGGATGGAATAAGAGTTGATATACTGTGCATATATTGGCTTTGAGGACAACATTAGTCATAACAGCAGCTACTTTTGCAGACTGTTACACTAATATACAGACATTAGCCAGAACCTGATTATCTACTGTTTCTTATTATAATTCAATCTATAGAAAAGTACTTCCATAAATCCAGTTCATCAAGGTTTACAATATCAACTTATGATTATCCAGCTTTGCCATTTTGCTACTGAGCTGGAAATAAGAAATGCTTGTTGCTGTCAATTGTGCGTGCTGCAGCTTATTCATAAATTCTAATTTCGAGGCCTTAAAAGGTCTTGAATACGAATATAAATAGCTTAAGTTTTTGCAGTCTAATACAACAGTCTAAAACTGTAGAGATTTCTTGTTGTAGTCAAAAACTACCCCAGTCTTGTAGACTGTTTTCTTGTTTCTTCTATAGGGCAAAAGAAGAGAAAAGATATTAAGCTGGCCAAGGGGGCCATCTAGTGGTCAGATTGTTGCTGGTCCAATCTATGGTACCAACAGTGCCCATACTGACAATACTCCTGAGTAGATTAGGATACATTACCTTACCTAATTCCTAAATATACATGTAACAGACGGCTTGCATGATGACAGTGCAAACAATCAATTATTAAAAATATTGCAATGCATCAGACATTTTCTTGCCAAATGTCTTTGTCAAATGTAAAACAAACATCAGCCTTAAACACAGACAGACAAACTACTGGATGGAGCAAATACTATTCAAACCCTAAACAAGGAGGGTCGGCGCTGTCAGGTCTGGCTTCGAGGTAACCGGTGAGAACCTCGTATGTAACAAACACCACCATGTTGACGGGGAACGCACGCAGACAGTTAATTCCTAAGCTCCTGAAGAACACTCCTACTCCCTCCACCCTCACTGTCTCGGTGATGCAGTGATAGAAACCCTTGTATCGCTTTGTCTCCCGAGCTCCATCCATCTGTAGACGGGCTTTGATCACATCCATAGGTGTTCCTATTGTCCAACCTGCCATTCCTGCAATTCCCCCGGCTAGCATCACACCACTTAAATCTGGAGGAAAAGCAAAGACAGTGACTTTAAAAATGGTAACTTGTCTTTTTAATCCTCAAGGAATCTGCAACATAAAAAGGAAAGAGTTTTGGCATCTGCCCTTAAGCTGCCCTATGAACTCTGGTCTAATATTGGCCTTGGCATGTTGACCCTGGTAGTGTCCCTCGTTGGAAGCAATGGTTATGCTAACCTCAAGGATATGAGCTAGTTTACAGCAACACTTCAAAGGTCCAGGGTGTAGGATTTAGTGGCATCTAGCGGTGTAGTTGCAGATCTAAACTCCCTAAAGTCATCTTCTAAGTGCAAAGAAGAAAACGTGCAAAAAAAACAACAACCCAGTGTTTGGTTTGTCCCTTCTAGGCTACTGTAGAAACAAGATGATTCAACATGGCGGACCTCATGGAAGGTGACCCAGGGCTTCTGTAAATTTAAAAGGCTCATTCTAAGGTAACAAAATCATAACAATTCATATATTCAGGTGATTATACACAAATAACAACATACCTATGAATATTATATTCCATTTCTGTCAATAGATCCTACTAAATGTTACACAGTGGACCTTAAAGAGCTATTAGTGAATACTGTTGCA